TCAGACTAATAAATATATGTTAATTTATTTTGTGATAATGTTTATTAAGACTTATTTTGAACTTTGAATATAAATTTTTGCTTCAATTTTGCTCATTTTCTTATTTTTTTTATTTTTTTTATTTTTTGAAACTTATAATTTTATTAGCTGATTTTTTTATAACATTACTTCAACATTCATATAAATCTTTTTTTAATTAGCTAAAAAGATATACAAAGTCAGAATATCAATTTTCATATTTGAGATATTCTCCTCTAGAGGATATTATATCAGCAACTTAATTCTATATGTGTAGTTATTATTAGTTGAGAATAGAATTTTGCATAGAATTCTCATCTATACTAATACCAAAAGTTATAGTATGATTTATGATAGTTAGTTCCTAAATAGCATAGCTAATAGGATAAATTTGAGTCTAAAGTTTGAAGTACTATATATACTTGACTTGTATTCTGATATTACAAATCATATGCTTGTATTCTTTCTATATATATTTGATATGCTCTGTTCATATATGTTGGATGATAAGATACCTTACTCCTACACTTTGGGTTATAGGATATCTGAGACTACTAATTAGAGTTTGAGATTACTTATACCTACATCTTTGGCTCGTAAGTAATCTACGCTTAACTTTTCTATATTAAGGTTCGCAGTAAGCTACTAGCTATTAAAGTTCTTATACCTATACTTTGGTTTGTAGAGTACTTGTCTTTTAGATGTTTCTATTTCTAGAGATCACAGTAAGCTGCTAGCTTTAATTAGAGTTCTTATATCTATAAGTTTGGCTTGTAAAGTACTCATCCTTTAGGTGTTTCTAACCTAGAGATTACAGTAAACTACTAGCTAATTAGAGTTTTTACATCTACAAGTTTGGCTCATAGGATATTCATTTTTCAAGAGTTTTTAATCTAGAGATTGCAGTAAGCTGCTAGCTTTAAAGTAAATATAAATAGATATAGTCTGGGCCTGAGTACAACTTTAAAAAGTCTATATAATATGAAATAGATCTTCTTTAGTTCAGGACAATATAGGGTGATTTTTTTTTTTTGTACTATAGTATGATATAGATCTAACCTTGACTTGGTATCTTAAGTAAAGTTGTAGACTAAATCTTTATAGTTCTAACAGATATTGAAATATTAAAATCCGTTTACAAGAAGCTGAGATATGATAATTTTTGTAAATCACTAGAACTATGTATTTCTTCACTTCTTAAATCTTCTCTAAGAAATCATTTTTAAAAATGTTAATAGAATCTTTAAAACTAATTTGCAGGTCAGAGAAGTATTTTCGTACTAAGATATACCTTAATAAAAGTTGTAAAGTAGATTCTTGCGAGTAGAATAGTATATGTTTCATCCTTCTATGTTTAATATTCATAGAGATATTAGCGAAATACAATAAGCAATTATAAATTATTCTAAGAAACTTCTCTTTAGATTTTCTTTTGGAATAAGATACATTATAATTCTGATAGTTCATCCATAGTTTTATCTTTATCTGCTCATGTTGAATAGTATACTAGATAGAGGCCTTTTATTTCTTTTCTATCAGAAGGTACTAAAATGTTACAAGTAGTATAGCCTTCTCAATATACTACAAGTAATATAAGATATAGAAGGGAGATTCCTAATGGTGTCAAGGTAGAATGTCACTTCACTGTGTCAGTTCGTTTAAAAGAGGTATTTTTGGCAAGGCTAAGGTATACTTTATTAAGAATTAATAAAGAACTTTATTAGAGAACTGTGAAGAACTACAGAACTTATTGAGTACTAACTAAAAGATATTAGAACTAGTCAGAACTATATACAGAACTATTAGAACTTAACAGAACTACTTTACAAAAAAGAGAAAAACTAGAGTTTATATATCTTTTTCCTAAATATCCTCAAATGTAGTTAAATATTATCAAATGTAGCTAAATATTATCAATCATAGTTAAATATCATCAAATATAGTTAAATATCATCAAAAATAGTTAAACATCATCAAACATCATCAAACATCATCAAATATTATCAAATGTAGATGTTACTCAAAATATAAATCCTAAAGTAACTCAAGAACTACATATGCTACAGATATAATTTATAGCTTATTTTGAAGGTCTAATCAAGCTACATCAAATAGTATAACCTAAATCTATTTTTGGCTATTAAGAATTCGAAAAAAATACTAATATATAAATCTAAATATCAAATATAATATAATAATAATTAATTAAGAAAATATACTAAAGTTCATTTGATAATAGTACTTGAAATATTAAAATTAGTTTAGTAAATCATGAGTTATATTTATTTTAGTTTTTGTAACTATAGATTTTTTTTTTGCAAATTTGTAAAGAAAAAACTTAGTTACAAAAATTAAGATAGATATAACTCATGATTTACTAAACTAATTTTAATATTTCAAGTACTAATAGAATTAAAAAGTTCTTATACACAACTTTATTTAAGAATCTAAGTAAGATTAATATAATAATAAAAAAAGTTATAATTATTTAATTGTTTAATTTTGAAAACATCCTATCTATACAAAATATTTTCAAATAAGAGAATATTAATTTAAATATTTATATTTTTAAAATAATTTTAGTATTCATTAAGAATACTAAGAATATTGAATTTTAAATACTAACTATAATATCTAATTACTTATACTAGCTAGTTTATTGCAGATCTATTTATCAACTTTAGTTTAGATCTTCTTGAGTTATATTATACTCAATATATTATAAATATTTGCAGAGCTAGTTAACCTCGAAGCATATTTACTAGAGTAGCTTATACTCATTTTATAAACTTATCTAGCTTAGACTCTTGTAGATATTTATATGATCCTAGTTTCTACAGTAGCTTTCTACTAGTATTGTTTACAGATCTTACTAAGATTCATTATAAGTTAGATCTTCCTAATTTAGTTAGCTACTAAGCTAAGTTAGTATTACTATAATATATAGTGATCTTTACTATGATACAAACTTATATATATCTAAGCAGATTAAAGTTTTTGAGCACTGTATCTTTTTGGATCAAGTATTAGCTAGTATAACTATTGAAAGCTATACTACTTTACCAACTTGGAGTTTATACTATACAGATTTCTACCTGTAGATCCTATCAAAATTTATTTGTATAATATTATATCTCTCCAAATACCTTGTTACACTTCTAATATTCAGATGATATTAGTACTATATGATTTATAGGGTTACAACTTCAGAAATAAACAGGGTTTACTATAAGTTAGATACAAAGATCTAGATAATTATTCAAATTCATCAACAGTAGGATTTGAACTCTAGATCTCTTGCATGGTAGTTTTTTAATTTAACTACTATACTTAGATCACTAGATTTTATTACTATCTTTTGCTATTAATACAGAAATAGTATTGTTAATAAATAATATTTTTTTTTTTTTTATAACTTGAATGATCTTATCTGTTACTTTATTAAGAAAAGTAATAATAAGTATAAGACTAATCTAAAATATATAGTATAAAAATTAAGTCTTTCTAAATTTGATTCAAACTAACTTGACTACCTCAAAAATACCCAAGTTCAATCTGCTGCAGAAGCTTATTTTCTTCTAAAAACCTTAATCTGTATAGATAGATTCCTTAGAATTTAATCAATGATAATAACTTCTAGTCTAATATTAAGATTTTAAATCCTTTCTAATCTAATTTGCACTAAGCTAAAAGTAGTTAACATCTAGTCTCAAGATATAAAAAAGTTTAAAAATTGTTATATATAATAGAATACAACTACATATTATATAAACATAATTTATAAGGACAAAATTCATTATTAAATTAAAAAACTCTTATAAGTGAAAGAGAAATAAAAAGAAAGAAAAAAAAGAAATCTCTTTTCTTAACATAAAGAGAAAAAGATAAACAAAAAGTAAAAATATTATACTATACAAAAACAAGAACATATATCTCTAGTATTAAAAAAAAATTGTCTAAATATTAAATCCTAATTAGATTATTTATATGATAGTGATATTCGTATTTGTTGTCTTGTTTAAGTTGCATATCAATAGATGACTTATCAAATTATAAAGTGATATAGGCTTACTAATTCTTTATTATGAATTTATTAAATCTTTTACTTTTTGTTGTTTTTTAATGAGAAAAAATCTAAAGGATCTAAGGAAAAAAGAAAACAATACTAAAAAGAACTTTAAAAAGAAAAAAATGCTAAACTTAGTTTTAGTATTATAATTAGAACTTTATATTTTAACTACTACAACTTCTTTCTTCTTCTTATTTTGTTTTAATTCATAGATAATACTTCATATATATATACAAGTTGCTACATATACACTTCACTAAGAGAGAGCTTCTTATAACTAGATTTACACTACTTACGGCTAGACTTCTATACTTATGTCAGTCAAAATATATAGTCTACTAGATAAGTATTAGTAATACTATTAAACTTCTAAAATAAAAATGAAATTTTTCTTTTGCTCTAATATTGGTATTGATGATCGATTGAAAGAGTTGGCTAAATAAAATAGTATATTTCAAAACAGCTTTGAAATAAACTTAACTCAAAATAAATTAAAGTTATAACTAAAAATCTAAAATAAAACTAGAATAATATTGTTAGTCAAAATTGTTTTTGCTATCAAAATTTGTTTAAAGTAAATTGTCTAAATATCTAAATATCTAAATTCATTTTTTATTAATAGTAATTTTTAAACAATTTCGACTAACAACATTAAACTAGAGTAAACCGGAGCAACTACTAAGCAAGTCTGGAGTGGCTCCGGAGTGAACCCAACTCAAGTTGAGGACTAGTTCAACTCAACCCAACCTATTAACAATCCTAGTTGTAAGACCTATAGCTTAATTAGATTTGTAAATCCGCACACCTCAATATGGTGTGCAACACCCCAGTCGCATACAACATCAACCAATCATTGGATTTTTAACCATGCTTCATATCAGATCATTCTTAAAGGCTTCTATTCTTAACGAAAATGCAGAAGTGGAATGAAGAATCACGCAATAAAGTTTATACTGGGACATTATTCTTTGGTTTATATTCATTCGTTCCCTTCTCTTGCTGCAATTGATGTTTAATTAATAAAATTTATTGAGCGTGTAATTTGTGAATTTTATTCTCGAATTTTTCGTCTTTAAGTCAGCGTTGGAGCAACTTGCGGTGGATTAGTCGCTTTTTTTAATAATCGATCATTCTTTCGTTATACTATTGCTACAGGCATTAATTGCGGAATATTTGGCCTTTCATTTTTCAGTAAGTTCGAATTCATCTATTTCACTTGATATGAGATATTTTTACAATTATTTTTACTATTTCTATTAAGGTATCAGAGAATTATGTTTATTGCATCAACAAAAAAATAAATATAAACTAAGAAATTCCAGAACACAAAATATAGATGAGCTCATTAGTAGCATTATAGCTGGTGGTTTGACCGGTGGTTTATTCTCGACAATCATTCGTGAGTAGTTTTTTTTTTTAATTTTTTTTTATTGATATTTACCATCCATGTAAACGTTTTAAGAACCTTTTGTATCAAAGTTTAAATTTTCACGATTCATTGTTCTATACCCGCTTAAAGATGGCCGTCAAGGCCTTCTCCCTAGCATCTTTATTTTCTGTCTTATCAGTGGTGTGGGACATGTTTGTTACACTAGTGCTTATAATTATAGGCAACAATTGATTCTTAAACCAAAAAATGTACAATATACGCCAAATTCTCAAAATCAAGAAATTTTGAATAATGTTAACCTAGAATCAAAAGATAAAAAAATGACGAAAGGGTTGTTTGATTGGCTCTCCACAAAAAAATGGACTGGTGTTAAAAAGTTATCAGAAGAAGAATATAAACAGATCAAACAGTCTAGAGCCGAAGCTAAAACAAATCAATTAGGAAATATATCAACAAAATACGAAAATTCGGATGATCAATCGTAGTTTTTTTTATGTCGAATGCATTAATCTTTGCTGACCATAAGATATTGGAAAGACTTTTACTGTATAATCAGCTTTAAAAAGTTTTATTAAAGTTACGATAATTTTTTATCCCTTTACGTTACACCTGATCTTGAAATTTGATTGGCCAATTAAACTGATTAAACTGATCATAAAATTTGATGTACCTTGCATTGCGGTTAGGGATGGGCCACTGCGCAGGCTGCGCAGCCTGCGCAGAATTTTTGAGAGACTGCGCAGTGTAATTTTTATAACTC